CACCCCCATGACGCTTTCGCAGGAGATGGAACGTTTAGAAGGCGTCATGGTAAGTGCTCATCATGTACGAGAAAAGATGGAGGCACTGACGTCAGCTTGGGAGAGGAAGCGCGATGCTCGCGGTAACGTGAGCACAGAGCTTGCCCAAGTGCGAAAGTGCAGGACCATTTTAGAAGACGAGATTGCTCGTCTTCAAAGAGAAATCCTGCAACTATCGGAGAAAGAGACGCAACTAGTGGAAGAAGAAGACAGGTTGCGTCTCGAAGAAGACGTCCTGGGGCATGAGGTGGAAACGAAGCGCCCGAGGTATGAGCGGCTCTGTGTGGGTGCACAGAAGCTGGCGCAGCAGTTGGCGCATGTACCCAAGGATCCGGTGGAAAAGTGTGTGAATGATTAAGTGTGAAGTGTTATTGTAGTAAGTATTTATGTATTGTAATTAATTCCAAAAAAAAAAAAATCACAAGAAACAAAATAGTGCAAAAAAAAAAAAAGTAAACGGGGTAGGTTAAAGGGTGTTAGAAGTGGTAATTCAGCAACATGTGCGGAGGTAACATTAACTGTAAATGATGAAAAATGATGGTACCTGATTTTTTACGATTTTATCTTTCCTAGGAGACGCTGTGTATAGGTATGCGAGTGATGCAAAATGGGGTGAGAAGAAAATCCGCTGAAAACATCATAGGGAAATGGGTTACTGGGGGGGGAGGCGCCAGAGGTGGGTGAGGGGGGGTCAGGGGCGTTAAGTCCGAACGGGGTAGTTGTGTGAATTCAGCTACTGCGATAGTGCCAACTTGTAGACCCAGTTGTCAGTATTAACAGTGAGAGAGGGGTCTCTTTTTCTAAAACCACTCCTTATAATTCTAATTAATTCTACAAGTTAAGGGTAGAAACTAAGTTCCTTAATAACAGCGGTTCACCACATTCGCTCGATGGAAAACGTTCTTCACTGAAAGGTGAACTTTTTTTATTGAAACATTTTTCCGCTATCGTCCACCCTTCATACACTTTCTGGGGCTGAAAGTATGGGGTTAAACCATGTAAAAAAAATATTTTCATACTTTTTTACGCTTGATCATTTTAGTTACCCTTAAACATACATTTCACAAGAGGAACACTTTTTTTTTTTTCAATGCTTCTATTTTTTAAGTAACTTTGAAAGTGTTAAGATTTTGTCAACTTTATTTTTTTTTATTTTCTTTTTTTTAGTTTCTAATAACTTCTGTTGGGTAGCATCTTTTAAGAACATAACTTATTGCAAGATTGTATCTCCTTATGC